GAGAGAGAGAGAGAGAGCTCTCTTGGTTTAAGATTTTTGGCTCACTATGAAGTGCTGTTCAATGTCAGCCTCTGATGATACCCAAAAGTCCCGTAGGCCAAAACATAGGCTCCCAAAGACAAGTGGATCGATGCACAAAGCTTTTAGCAAATCTCATTCTTGTGAGTTGCAGTCGAAGGAGCCCATCTCACCTTCACATGGAGTCACGGTGAATTTTATCACTGTAACTGATTATCCCATTGCTTAATTCTCAGTAAGCTAGTGATAATACTCAGTCTTGACTCTCAATGAAATGGTGGTTGGTTGCAGAAGGTTGATTTGAGCAAATTAGAGACTACAGCATTGTGGAGATATTGGAGACACTTTAACCTTGTGTGTCTCTCTCTCTCTCTCTCTCTCCGATCTTAGTACTTCAATTTTACTATAATACGTCTTGTTTTAATCTTTTGATAAAACTGCATGCTGGTTTTGAATCATTGATATGGATTCCCCATATTTTACAAAAATTTGAACAATTTGGTTTGGATTCTGGGCACTCAAATTGTTATCTCATCTGAGTTCAGGTGGATATCAGTCCTAACCCCTCGAAAGAACAGCTAATTGATGCAGTTCAAAGGCATTTCACGTCACAGGTTTGTTCTTCATTGTTGAATGGTGTTTCTCTTTTTCACAGAAGTTCACTTTCGGTCTATGTTTTTATGTTGATGAGAGAGAAGCTTGACCCTTTCTTCTCTAAAACCCAATTGTTTTTTGTTCTTGAAAGCAATTGGATGAGTTGCAGGTCATCGTAGGGTTTGTACAGGCAGCCAAGAGGCTCAAGACCGTCTGCAACTAACAAGTAGGCATACTTGCCGTTGCTAACAGATTGGTATTCTCTTTGTCATATCTATCTATCTCCTACCTTTCTCTGTCTTGTGATTGTAACATATGTATCTTCTTTTCTTGGGTTTTGACAGTAAGAAATAGGTTTCCATTGTAGGGTTTTTGAACAAGTCCTGTGTAATATAATGTGGTTTTCAATGCATATATGGTGGAAGAACTTGGCTTTTCTGATGCACTTTTATCATGAGATTGAGTGCTTCAGACTCTGATCCTCTCTCTCTCGCTCTATGGGGGAATGGCATGTATATTGTAGCATATATGTATCTAATGTTCTATATGGAGGTCTTGGACTCTTGGTAAAAATGGGGTTATCAGGATATTTATAGTTCTTAAATTTTTTTTCATCATCTCTGTGATTTTCAATTTTTATGCATTGAAATTGCCTTTGCTTCTTTGCCTGTTTCTTTTGTTTTTTTTTGCATTTGACTGATGTAAAGACTGAGGTAATCTCTCTCTTAAAAAAACAATGTAACTGATACCCATCTCCCTCTCTGAAAAAACAATGAAACTGATACCCATCTCTCGCTCTCTCTCAAAAAAAACCACGAAATTAAGTGCTTCTCTCTGCCCCCCTGTTTCTCTCTCAAAGCATGAAACTGATTGCTTCTCTCTTATCCCTCTCTCAAGAAATCATGAAACTGATTGTTTTTCCTCTCTCAAAAAACCATGGATCTCAATACATAATAGCATCTCAATTGTTCAGTTTGTTTTGGGGATAATGGGAAGGACCCGGTTTCTATGTGGCCAAGCCCAAGCCTGCATATGTAGAAATGCGGGCTTATTAATAAATTTATTTTTGAGATGGACTTTAAGACTTAATTTTTAGGATATGTAATCTTTAACATGGACAACATGAATATGAAAAGATAAATAAAATTTAAAAACTATAAATAATAATTCCCGTAAAAAAACATTTAGGGCGTTAGTTTCTATTGTTTTTAGGAGCACCTACACTTTCTGGACTGCTCGCATATGTAGAACTGCAGCACTGCCCGCATGAAACAATTTTCCTAATAATGGGAGACCCCCTGAACCTGGCTGTGTGGCACCCTAATTCAAATTAGTCGATCTCATTGAATATTGAAGATGGATTCCATTCTGTGAATATTAAAGATGGATTCCATTCTGTTATTTGATGTTTGATTATTTGCCGCCCGAGACCAATGGCCTGCTCTCTTTCTCCCTCTCTCTACAATGGCTCCATTGGAGCACAGCTCACCCAAATCATGTCGAATCTCTCTCTATCTCGGCCATTAAATCATGTTAAATCTCTCTCTCTAGAATGTATTTTATATTCTCATTATGAGATTTTCAAGAACAAAAAATGGGTGGGAAGTCGATTCCCATCTTAAGAGTGATGGAAGGGATGTACATGCATGGAAACGCTCACATCACAGCTCAGTTGTGCGTTTGCCTCTCTCCCTCTTAAACGAGATACGGGCTTGAATCTCTGCTTGACTGAGAGGACCCAGGTGCGTTAGTATAGAAATCAAAAGAAAACAACAAATCCACCACACCGACTCGACTCGGTTATATTTGGAAGGATGAGGTTTCTCTAAGGCCTGGGCATTATGAAAACAAAATAAAAGCCTCATCTCAAATTCTCGGCCGGAAAGTATTTTTATTGACGGAAATCTCTATGATGGCTCTCAAATTAATTTTCAACACCAATAATAAAATTTGAAAATAAAAAAACAGTATAGATATACTGTGACCATTTTTTTTAAAGCAAAATAGACAGGTTAGATAGTTTGTTCCAATATACATTATTTTTCACCAACCATAATATTCAAGTTGGGCTTGTAAAGGTTTTTCAATGCTTGCCATTTTCGATGAATTATGAGGTGTCGATTTACTTATTTTGATAAGGTTGCAGTCCTATCAAAGCCATTTTCCTATTTGGAATTATATGTTGCTTTTAGACGTGTGGGGTGTGGTCCATACAAGCATGAATTTTGGCATCAATTCCTGTAAGAGGAATATCAGTGCGTCCTAGGAATTCGGATGATGACAAAAAAATGAAACATGATATGGAGAGAGAGAGAGCTCATGGGTTCATGGCATGAAGAGAGAGAACTCATGGAATGGAGGGACAGAGAGAGAGCTCATGGGATGTGGAGAGAGAGAGAGAGAGAGAGGTCATGATGGAATAGGATGAATAGTGGCATGTAATCTGTAGATGTAAAGAGTGAATGATAGAATGATGAAGCCTAAGAAAACCAGTGTATCAAACCTCGGGACACTAAAGACCACCATTTGACATGGTGGCCAAGTACACAGTGTTTCTCTCTCTAAAACTTACTTTACTAAATTAAACGAGAAAGGAAATTCAAACTTCAAAGCATAATTGAGGATTCTTATGCTTGGTGTCCCTCTTTTAAAGAGACAAAAGTGTGCAAGTCATCATCAGGTCAAAGAGATCCCAATGTTTAGCAAAGCTTTTTTAAGTGCTATGCTTAGAGTCTCCCTAACACACAACATTAAGACAGAAGTTCATCGTCTTGCACTCTATAATCTCATCAAAAGTATAAGTTAATCACTAACCAGCAAAGAAAGACGCTGTATACCATGTTTGGTACAAGAACGTCACAAATATCCTTAGCCATCAGATGTGAAGTTAGATAGTTTGGGTTATATCACAAAGGTAGAAAATTTCCCCTTCGAAACCTGGCAAAACAGAACACAACCACACCTGATTTCATTCAAACTGCCAAAATTGAATGTGACTTTTTTGTACCAAGGGAGAGTGGTTTAAATGTAGGCTTTCCCAGAAAAGTGTGGGTTTCAAACATCTTTTTTGCGGATCCCCACTGTCCACAACCTTAGCCACAATGAAGCTCCAGATTAAATTCTTTGTGCCTCTTAAATAGGATATTTTTAGCTACCTCAGAGGTGCATAATTATTTTTTTGAATCCTCCTAATACCAAAATACAATTTATATTTGTTTGAGAAACATTCTCCCACTTGATTATGAGGCCTTGAGACAATTACTCATGAGTGTTCCCATTAAAATCTGATAGAAATGGTGCCTAGAAACACCATTGCATGGTTACTGGACACAAGGGAGCAGAGAATCATCACCTAAGTGCTAATTCTTTTAACTGAGGCATCTACTATCTGATGCCACATAAAGGCAATGTACAATCTAAAACAAGATCCCATGCTTCTTTCAAGAAAATTAAGATGCAAGAATCAAGAATCCCGAACGAAATGTGAGAAGAATTTTCCAATAAGCTATTAAAGACATTTTTGAGTGGTGGATGAAGATATCCACCTCTGCTTTGAGCAAAGGAAAAATGGAGGAAAACTCTTTGCAGAGTGACCCCAATGCCTAAGCTCTAATTTGAGTTGATCAATAACCGTGGGAATTGAATGACGAATGGCAACTAATACAGATACACGAATGTAAGCATAATTTCATTTAATCTAAAGAGAATGCCAGTAGGTCCATAACGCAACAAATTGGTTGTGGACAGAGAAAAATAGGAAGTCATTCAAAGGTGGTTGTGGCCCATTAAGAAAGCCTTAGGATTGGGTACCTGGACTCCAATGTTAAATCAAATCCATCACAGTAATATCATAGAATTCAGAAATAGAAAAGCACCCGAGAATTAATAGAAAACTTCAAGTAATCAGTTCCTGCTCAACATCTAGAGCATAGTTATCAGATAATCCTGATAACTTGAGCATCAAGAATCCAAATCAAATTACACACCAAGGCCTGACCCTCTCAATATCAAAATCTCCTTAGTGAAAATGAAAATGATCAGGAATGGGGTCAAAGATAGGTGGTCAGGATGACGGGGTGATATAACGTGACATCTGAAGTTCTATTCCTACTACAGATAGGGGCCCTTCTCCACTGAACTACCCCCCCCCCCAAAAAAAAAGGGGACATGATCCTTTAATATCCCTTTAAGCCTCTGAGATCTTTGCCAACTTGTCCATATCCCTAATTCCCCATTTATCCATAAAAGAACCAGGATTAACCCTTATAACCTTTCTCCTAGGTTCACTAGTTGCCATCTTTCCAGAAACCCCCCTGTGCCACTTAGCCTAAAGAACCTAGATCACATCTTTTATCCATCAAGTACCTACCCTGCATGTTTCACAGATTGGCAAACTTAATTAACATTTTAACAACATTCACAGTCGCTGCTCTGCTATAAATCCCTGTAAATTATCTCAACTTTCTTGACCTCTCCAATGATTTGGAGGAAAGACAAAGCGGAAGGTGATACTCGGCTATTCATGAGATTATTCAAATTTTGCTTAAGAATCCATAAACTTAGCTAAGCTTTGGGACTGACTTGGGTCAACTTGTTTAGGTACTTAAGGGCCAAACCACAAGTTGAGAGAACTTAAACTTAAATGTTAAATCAGACTTTTTAATTGTTGTGCAAGCCTTCCTCCATATAACAGACACTTGCTTTTCCTAGATACCAAGGGCCAAGAAATTGGGTTTTTAGTACATAAGGTGGGTTGGTCTATATCTATGATCCCTGTTCCTTGCTGATTCTAATTACTGTTTATTTAGTTGCGTCCATCATTTGGACATGGATTCCTCATAGATGCTTTAAGTTCCGTTTAGCCATCACAAAATGAATTTACATTGTAATCCACAGTTGCTATTGCAACTGGTAATAGCATTTTCCATCCATTCTTTAACAAAAGACGATGATTCAACAAAAACACATAATATTTTCCACAGTTATGGTGGCAGTGGCCCTTGGCCATGAGCAATGTCATAACGCAACATTTTGATTTCCTTCTCTGGTTTATTTCAAAAAAGTATGCCCATGACATGCTAACGAATGTTTAACATTCCTAATGACTATCTCCCCAAACACAGATGTGGAAAAAAACAAAAAAAAGCTTCTCAGACAGGAATGCCAGGACAAATCCCTTCATTGCAAACATTTAAGAACAGCAAAAGTTCTAGAAATCTGGTCACCTTATATTTTGGAAGTTAATTCATGAGAATAATTTCTTTTTAAATAATAATAATAATAAGAATTCACAAAAAGTTCTTGAATGCTTATCAAGGTCGTTAAAGCTACAAATCATAAATGAAACTTTCTTATCAGTGATAAAACAAAAACCAATTGCTCTCTCTAACACAGGATCGGGAATTCCAAATAATAATCTGCAGAATTTATGGAATACCGCATCCCTGCATTGGAGTCAAATCACATTTTGCCCTGCATCCGTGGCCATCCCAGAAGAATGGGCAATGTGGTCGATGTATTGATTGGAAATATAAAGTTGAAAACATTTCTAATCTAGAAGATCAGACATTCAGGTCTTAAACTAGCCAGTTAAAACCAGAATCACAAACCTAAAAAATTGAATCAATTTTAACCTAGAAGAATCAGTGGATGTCAGATTAGAAAGTATGAACCCAGCAGAGGTGTATCAGAAAATTTCACAGATTGGCCATGGGAAAGACAGAGAAAGTTCATGGGGAACCAACTATGGATACTCGATGATACCCATGCTTAGTAACTATATGTCAAATTCTAAAAGGCACTACATCTGGTTTATTTCTCCAAATAAAAAGTCATATAAATGAATTCAGTAGACCTCCAGAAATCTATATAAGTATGAAAGCTTGGTCCAACCCATAAGTACCATAATGAATGACCTCCTGGGAGGCCATTGTGAGCACACACACTAAGAAAGAAAAAAGATAAAAGAAAATTTTGTTTTCTTCTATTCCCATGCCTTCATATCTTTCCTACCATAATTTCTATTTCCACATATACTGTCTGTACATTTCTACTCTCATTATAATTCCATTCTTGGTTTCTTCTTTGTTATTCAACCCCTTGAACTGGTTCTTTACCACGTGGTCATTCTCCTTTCTCTAGTGGTCATGCTTTCTCTTTTACTGTCGCTTTTATCCATTACTATATTGTTCCTTTTCATTGTCATTATGGATTGCAACTCACAGGTAATTCCCAGAATCGTCATCATCGAAACAACATTAAGACATAAAAATATCATCAGAAAAATATAGTTAAGATGGATACAACAACCAGGTCTCATACATAACAGTTCCACTTCTTCCTCACTGTTCTACAAGACAGCATCTGAAGAGGACCTCAATTTTTTGAGAAAAAGAAGATGACCCAAGTTGTTAAAGAAAAGTACAATGAGAAAAAAAAAAAAAAGCAGCCTCAAATTACTGTTAATTCATACTGGGTGACATACCCAGACATATAAACCTTAAATTACTATTGGAATTAAAGAGAAACATTAAACAACAAACAAAAGGTACCCTGTACCAAGCTTTTTCTGGCCACGAGAAGAGAAATCCAAGAAACCCACAATTGTCAGAAAGTAAAACCTCAACTAGGGTGCTTGATGATCTTCTGCAAAACCACAGTTCTCGCCCTTTGAATGTCCCTATGGCATCGAGTTGCATGGTCATCAAGGTCCTCGATACTCTTAGTAAACACCTCAAACTTCTTGGTTATCTCCTCAATCCCCAATTTGATGGCATCCTGCGCTTGCAATGCAAAATCCACATTTTGCAACAAAGACCCAATTTCAATCTCCAATCGATCAACAAGAACACGTATGTTATCAAGATCCTTGATGGCCACATAAGCCCCAACATGCATCGAATTTATCACTTCCTTTTGACTCTTTAAGGCAACCTCATAATTCTTCCATAAAGAGTCGACCCATTTACCGGCAGAGCCAATAGGGATCGCGCTCGCAGCGGCCAATGCTGCGGCAACAGGTGGTGCGGCCACAGCAGCTGCCACTACACTACATATCAAAACAGTGGCAAAAACAGATGCAAAAATAATGCTTGATACCCTTCTCCAGACCTTAATAGACTTTAGTTTTTTATCGAGCTTGCTCTTTTTGGCCACCAATTTCTTTAACATAGAGACTTGTTGGCTATAAACTGACTGAAGGAGAGTAAAGAACTCCTCAGTGAATGGGCTAGCTGCCATTTTGAAACTCCTTAATTCCTCGAGGGTCTTTTGGTGATGGCCCTCCCCAGCTTCAGCAAATTGTTGGAGGGCAACTTGGATAATCATCTGACCATCCTTTGCCCTTTTCAGGCATTTTTCGAGGGCAGTGCAGAAATCCATGGTTTGTAAGCTGTTGTTGAAGTACTCCTCAACAAGGTCAAAAAGCTCAGGGCTTTTCCAAATGTCCTGCTTGCGCTCTAAAATTACCTTGACAACCTCCTGGTTCATTTCGAGGAGACAAGAGATCACATCCTTCAGAGATTCAACAGAGAGAGATCTGACTTCCACCCCAACTGCTAATTTGTTAATGGCTTGTTTTGTTTGGGCCTGTAAATTGCTATCGAAGAACTCTAACTCGGGATCGAGCTTACAGGCTTCTTCATAGGAGAACAATTCTGAGACATATTGGAGATTTCCATCGAATTGTAGCACTGCACTGGGGTTACCGTTCTTACTCATCTTTCCTCCCATTGCTAGAAACCCCTTTCGAGATCCTCAATTTCACTAAAAGCTCCTCCTTTTAGTCCTTTTACAAACTTAATTTCACAGAAAGCGCCCTCTTTTACTCCCTTTTCCGGTTTAATTTCACAGAAAAGGTCCCTCTTTACTCTGTTTTGGGCATTTTCTTTATGGGTTTTCTGAGACTCTTCGAAATATCTACTGGTTTGAGTAGAGATCAAATAACCAAGCTCAAGTGGGCTGAAATTTCAATAAGGATGGGGTTTTTGTACCAAAGAAGAGAAATCCTCAGAAAAACACTAGCTTTGATCCTTTAGAAAGCGTTGATAAGCCCTAGCTTTGATCTGTGAACCAAATATGAAGAGGTAAACGAGAACCAGCAAAGCAGATCGCAATATATAAGGAGGTGGAAAATAAACAGAAATGAGCAGAAAACCTAGCTTGCAAGCAATGTTAGACAGATAATGGACGCCATGGAAGATGAAACGTCGAGGAAATGCACTCAAAAAGGGGGGCAATCGCTTTCACGCATTAGATGATCAGAAAGGGGAGAGAGAGAGAGAGAGAGAGAGAGAGGAGGTGTACGTAA